TCGCACCTATTTTGAGGTCGGTCAATAGCAATTTATGTACTTCGTGTTTGGATAAATGATATAGAGATCATCATCCCATAACATGTAGCACAAGTAAAAAAAGAAAGGAATAAGATGAAGAGGGAGTGGAATGATAAGTTAATTTGGATCACTACCTCAAATTTCTTTCATCTTTAAATTCAATCACTCATCTCAATGGATTAAAGTACTAAACATATCATTAATCCAAAGCACCAAAAATGAATTGAATAATTCACTCTTTGGTAGATTTTAATTAATGAATATTTATCCAATTTCATCTACACCCAAAGTCCATTGAATTTAAAGAGAAATTGGACATTTAAAATTGCAATCCAAATCAACAATCAAAAGGAGTGAGTAGAAAAAGATAGATGGATCAAAACAGCTCCGAAACAAGGCAGAAAAAGCATTTTTGTTTTGTTGCAATCGATTGCACTCTGACAGCAACCGATTACATCAGTGCATTTTTTTCAAAAAAAAATGTGAAATTATGCTGTGACAATCGATTGCGCTGTTATAGCAATCGATTGCACCCTGTTAAAAACAGAAAAACGACATTTTAAAAGGCCAAATTCTTATTCAAACTTTCCATCAAACACCTTATGATCATGGATTCTATTGAGGACGAAAATTCCATCAAATTGTGAGAAAATATCACCAATGGAATCACGAAATAATACTCAATGAATCAAACCCAAAGATCAACAAGAGATCACATTGTGAAAGATGAAAAATCCAACTTACCAAAGGTAGATCTAGAGAATTATCAAAACAACTTCAAGAATTTACTTCATTCAGCCCCAAGAATCAATTGCCCAAACTTGGATGTAGATAAATGACAAAGAAAAAGTCTTTGGATGAAGGTTTAGCTCAAAGATTAGTAAGCTTCAATGCAAAGCTTACTAACTTTTTTTTGAAAATAGAGCTTTGAGTGAATTTGGTAGATGGAGAGAATTGAGAGATTTTTTAGCAAGGTGGATTTGGCTATCAAAAGCTTGAGATTTGAGTGAAATGAGGGCTCCATTATAGAGTTTAGGCTTGGTATTAGTGGTGGTTTGGTAATTGATTCTTGGAGTCAAAATTTGAATTAATGATATATCTTTTAAAAAAATAAAAAATTAGAGCCAAAATTTGAATTAATGGTATATCTTTCAAAAAAATGAAAAATTGGAGCCAAAATTTGAATTAATGATATATCTTTCAAAAAAAATGAAGAAAAATTGGAGCCAAAATTGACAAGCTTGGAATTGCTGATTTTTTTTCAAATTTTCACTCTGCGCAATCGATTGCACTCTGAGAGCAATCGATTACATCAGTATTTTTTTTCAAAAAATACGCAAAATACACTTTGTGCAATCGATCGCACTCTAAGAGAAATGGATTGTACACTGAAAAAAAAGAAAATTTTTTAATTATTTTTTTTTGCAAATAGAGATTTTAGAAAAATAATACCGGAAAACCTTATTTGTCAGATGCTTTGACTCGGTACCTACAAAACACAAATATACAAAGACAAATATTTTTTTGTATTTTGATTAGAAGTTAGTCTACAACACAAGATCAAACTTAAAGATAGGATGCAAATGCGATGAATGGAGCTATTTATTAATGATTGTGACAAAATGACAAAATATGATATGAAAGTGCGACTGAAAAAGTTAGGGGCGAAATTTAGGGTACAACAGTAGTAATGTAACGCTTTAAAGAAAAGACTGGTATGCAAAAGGCTTTTGATTTAAACTTAAAAGTAAAGTATAAAACTTCAATTGAAAATGAAAGGCAATAAACATAAAATCGGTGCATCATACGTACATTCTCACAACTCGTTTCTTGAACATTGATACTTTGAATAATTTAGAGTAATTTGTACAAAGATGTGAACACTCTGAATCCTAACGCTAAGATTCTAATTTATACTAATTCGACCATAACGGTCTCCTTGTAAGATATTGCCATGTTCGACGTCTGCATGTGCTTTCGAACCTTATACTTCCACGCGTCTTTTTCGAATAAGGATGCAAATTTAGATTTCAAATCTTTCTCTATTTCAAAGCGCCAAATCTGCCCAACGTGTCATAACAAACTGATTTTCGAAAATCAAACCTAACCTTTATACATCGAATTATTTCAACAAGTTTAGACCATCCATAATTTTGATCAGTCGAACCTAATAAAGAAAATATCTTTATTTCTCCAATTTAACTACCATCGAAATTTCAGCTAACACCGAGTGAAAGCTTCAAATAACAGTGGGTTTGGTTGAAGGAGTATCGGTAAATGGATGATCGATTGAAAATCTTGGGGGAGGGGGGAATTTGTAATTTGGATTCAGCCGAGTGAAAGTTTCGAAGAACGGTTGGTTCAGTCGAAGGAGTAGCAGTAACCGGATGATCAAATTAGTATTATTGGGTGACTTGATTAAACTCAAGATCAAGGGAAGAGAAAGAGTTAGAATCAACCTTAAACATAAGGTTTGTAAGGTTGGATTGTTAATTTTCTCTTGTAAACAATTTTTGCAAAGTAAGATTGATTATCTCAGTTCCAAACGAAATTGGGGGCAAACGTAGCCATAGCGAGGACGATTAGAAAACTGCTAAAACAAATCCTTGTGTCCTCTCTATCTATCTATCTATTTATATATTTGTCTATCTATCTATCTATCTCTATCTCTCTCATTTACTTTCAATTGCAAATTATTGAATTCGTTGGTTATGCAATTGACACGTTTAGATAAACATTTTGTAAATTCAAAACTAATTTGTTACGTTGATTACAATCAATAAGATTGTAATTGGTTTTTGAAATCAACAAAACAATAAGAAAAATCTAACCAACATCAATTGCACACCAAGTGTTTGATGATTTGCTTCTTTGTGTTTGTTATTTTAAATTTCATTGGAAATATGTTACTATTGTGATTATATTCAAACGTGTTATTTGTGAAAATATATTGTCTATATTACTTATCATTATCATTGCATATAACATTAGTTTAATGTACATTTGAACTTTTCGATAACGGTTCAGATTAGATGATATTTGATTCGGGTGTTTTCCGCTTGCCATAGTTAACAAAACATTTTACAACCACTTTTCTAAAGAATCTTAACTTGAGATCTATTCACCCCCTCTAGATAAGTTATCTTCGTCTAACACCGTTGTCCCCTTACCTTTTCATTTTGGGTGTGAATGTCTTGTCTGGATTACTGAGGTGAGGCTCCAAAACATCAATGGGATTAAGGTGGCTAAAGGTGCTCCTATTATTTCTCATCTCTTTTTTGTTGATGACAGTCTACTTTTTGCCAGATCCAATCAAAGAGAAGCTGAAGTGATCATGAGTACTCTTTTAGCGTACCAAAAGGGATCTGGTCAGCTTGTAAACCTTGAGAAGTCTGAAGTCTCCTTTAGCAGTAATGTCAGCCCTAAATGTAGGAATTCAATTTGTAGGAAGATGGGAATTCAATAAGTTACCTTTCATTCTAAGTACTTGGGCCTCCCAGGGTGTTTGGTCGTTCAAAGAAAGAAGTGTTCTCCTTCGTGGTCGATAGAATTTGGAAAAAGCTAAAGGGTTGGAAAGAAAAGGCATTGTCTGGGGTGGGACGTGAAGTTTTTATCAAATCATTTTTCCAATCAATTCCTAACTACATTATGTGTTGCTACAAGATACCCTGATGTGTTGCTATGGAAAGGTAATTGGCATGTTCATCTTCTTAATGATGCTAGGAACATTCTCTGGCGTATGTTGAAGGGTACTCTCCCTTTAAAAGAGAACCTATGCAAGATAGGGATGAAGCTTGCCCCCCTTTGCCCTTTCTGCTCCTCTGAGATTGAGACTGAGGATCATTTGTTCCTCCACTACCACATTGCCAAAAGAATCTGGTTTGCGCCCCCCTAGGCTTCCCTATCCCAGATAACATTGATGTTAGGAAGTGACTCTTTAACTGGTTCAAATGCAATGACCAGAGTGGCGCTCAATTGGTGTGTGCGGCTCTTTGGAAAACTTGGCAAGGAAGAAATCTCTGTTTTCCATAATAAGCCTTTTAAACCCTTGGAAATTGCGATGGATGCTGGCTTGTTGGTTGAGGAGTTTAACTTTGTGTCGAAACCCCCTGTTCTTATGGACCCTAACTTAAATTTCATGGTTGCTGTTGACGCATGATGCTTCTCTGATGGGATCACTGCTTGGGGTTGTGTTGTCAAAGACAGAGCTGACAACACAATTTTGCGTGCTTGCAAGAAGGCTGCTATCACACTGGAGCCGTGTGTTGCTCAGGCCATGGGTGTTAGATGGTGCTTGGAGATGGCCAGAGACCTTAATTCGGATATCATCCTTATTAACTTTGATGCTCTGACGGTCGTGGGTTGCATCCAAAGGTCATTCTATGGTGACGGCAATTGGCTCAATTGTGAAGGATTGTTTATGTACTATGTCTAACTTTAATTGTGTTGCTGTGTGTTTTATAAAACGTGAATTAAACCAAGAGGCTCATGACGTTGTTGGCATTACCTATTTTGGTGGTTCTAAGACTTTGTTTGGTGGTTCTCCTGCCAACCATCACTCTGTTTCTCCTTTCTTTGCTTAATGAAGCTATCTTTACCATAAAAAAAAAAACGTTCAATGTAAAAAAACTGTCGCAATATTTTTCAAGTATATATATACCCACAAAAATAAAGAGTGGTGCTTATTATTCTTCAAAAGGGATTAAACTAAAACAAAAGTTAAATTACAGCAACAAGCCTCCTAATTAAAGAACAAATTTTGAGCAACTTCTTCAAAATGAATGATGACGTTTCTTTATACAATGGAAGAACAACTGTGCATGACATTTTTTATTCTATGTATACTGCGCATTGCAAGTTACACTATGATATCAACAGTATTTTATTAAAAAAACTAAAACTATGTCATATGCTTTCCTATTAATAAAAAAGAAAAAAAAAAACTTACAATGTATATGAAAACAGTATGAGTTGAAGCTTTAATAGTTTGAATTTCTATGAGAATTGAATATCTTAATCAACATAGCTAGAACCTCTTTCATGTTAGGCCTATTATGTGGCGAGTCATTTGTGCACTTCACTCCAACAAAAAGCAACTCAAACATCTCTTTTGCACCACCAACTAACCCAAAATGACTCAATCCATTTCTACCAGAACCAATCACACGCCTAACACATTCAACCAAACATTCTTCACCTCCATCCACAGCTCTTCTCCCAGTCGCTAACTCCATGATCAACACCCCAAAACTATACACATCGCCTTTTGTTGTCGCTTGCCATGTTTGTCCATATTCAGGTGCAACATATCCGACAGTTCCAGCAACAACTGTACTCACGTGGCTATCACCAACATTGACTACTCTAGCAAGCCCGAAATCTGTTACTTTTGCTTTACCTTCTTTGTCAAGCAACACGTTACTAGCCTTCACATCTCTATGCACGATTGGAGGGTAACATTCATGGTGTAGATAAAGTAACGCTTTAGCCACATCAATAGCGACTTCTAACCTCCTTTTATAAGTCAAATTTTTTGTATCGGTTACTAGTTCTTCCAAACTTCCACCTCCTATGTACTCGTAAACTAGTAACTTTTGTGAACCGTATAAGCACCAACCATAAAGTGTGACAAGATTTGGATGAGGCCAACCGAATTCTTGACCACTAAGGACTTTCATTTCAGCTTTGAATTCTTTCTCGCCTTCAGTTCCTTCCCTTTGTAGCTTCTTCACTGCCACTACTCTTCCATCGGGAAAAACTCCTTTGAAGACCGTTCCGAAACCACCTTTTCCTATGATTCTCTCTTCTTTGAAGTTGCTAGTTGCTTCCAAAATGTCGGCATGCGTGAAAACTACATTGTTCAAATGGAATATCTTGACGGTATCAGATAACCACTGTGACGATTCATAGCTACCTGAATCATTATGCTTCCGGTTTTTATCCTTCAGAAACTTTCCTTGTTCCTCAGACGGACTTTTCACCAAGAAATAGACAGTTAGAAAAAGAAGTCCAGAAACCAAAATAGCAAGTGTTAGAGCAACACAAAAATACCATTTTGTTGCTTTTTTCATATGTATGTGTAATGTTTTGTTTTTTCCATCTGGGGTATTATTATCAAAGAATTTCGGAAGGACTAAGAGGGTATCGCCTAAATAGGAATCTTTATCGAAAGTAAGCAAATGTCCGGTTAGAGGCACTGTACCAGATAACAAAGGATTATATGAGATGTTGAACCTGCTAAGCTCATCCAATTTAACCAAACTTGTTGGAAATGCACCTGAGAAATTGTTCCAAGACAAATCAAGATTCTGCATGCACTTCATGTTACCGATTTCCTCTGGAATTTCACCTGAAAATTTGTTCCTAGTCATGTTCAAGACTATAAGTGGTAAACCACCAATCTCTTTTGGGAATTCGCCGTTAAATCTGTTGTCACCTAAATGCAACATACTAAAATTCAGCATGTTCCCAATTTCTGAAGGAATTTCACCACTAATCATGTTACCACTTAACTGAACATAACCGAATTTATGATATGATCTAGTCGAAGGTTCAGATGCACACATTGGAAAAATTCCATATCCTTTGAGTAATCTATCCCAAAGGGATCTACAATTTTTCCGTGTTAAGATACTATACACAAAACTGAATGGAGGGTAATTAGCAGGTATCCAGCTTTTCATCGATAAACATTCGCTATTTCCAGCCACAACACCAACCATATTCTTAAGGTTTAATTCAAATGTCTCCATAGCATTTCTTCCGATTCTGGTCAACTCAGAAGGAAACATTCCGGTGAGTTTGTTGTTTGCAAGGTTCAACCATAACAAACTTGAACAGTTACCTAACTCGTGCGGTATTTGACCGGTTAACGAATTGTTTGCAAGCATTAACCACAAGAGAGAATTCAACTTTCCTAAGCTTGCTGGAATTGGTCCGCTGAAACTATTGAAAGCAAGTTCAAGTGCTTGCAATTTACTCAACTTCTCTAATTCAGATGGAATAGTTCCATTAAAGTTGTTGTTGCTTAATGTTAAGAATACGAGACCAGACATTTGAGAGATTTCAGCTGGTAATGGACCTGAAAAGTTGTTGAAACTTAAGTTTAATCTTGTAAGATTACTCAATGTGAAAATTCCTGATTCATTCAATCCTTTAACATAAGAATTTGCGTGCAACAAAAGAAACTTCAATTGCTTGAATTTACCAAAAATCTCTTGTACCTCACCACCAAAGTTGTTCCTGCTCACATCCAAAATATACAAATTGCTCAAATTCAAAAGGGTATCTGGAATATCTCTTGAGAAGGTGTTATTCTGCAAGAAAAGTGATTTGAGACCAGAAATCGAACCAATTTCACTAGGTATTTCACCGCTAAATTTGTTACTAGAAAGATTTAGAATCTCTAAGTTCTTACAGTTAGCAACTTCCTTAGGCGGTTTACCGAAAAATGCATTGACAGAAAGATCCAATTTTTCAAGACTACAATTCATCGGAAAAGCACGAGAAGGAACATTCCCAGTTAGAAAATTCTCCGAAACAGAAAACTCTGTCAACCTCGAAATCCCATTCCATAAAACACCACTTATATTATTTGTACTCAAATCCAAATACTTCAACCTTGAACAATTATCAAAACACTCATCAATCCTACCAAAAAAGTGATTATCCGAAACATTTAAACTAACCAACCCATCACAATTATCACGAAAACTCAACCCAATCTCCCCGAGGAGCCTATTCGTCGACAAATCCAATGTTCTCAACTTCCTCAAACCCGTCAAATTCATCTCCCCCTCGAGAATATTATGAGATAAATTGAGATACACAAGATTACCACACTTGCTCAAATCCTCAGGAATCTCTCCACAGAGAGTGTTCCACGAGACATCAAGATGCGTGAGTTCGCTTAGCTCAGAGAAATGATCAAACATCTTACCTGCAATCTGGCTCGCTGAGATATCAACACTCACAACCCTTGTTTCTCCATTGATCATGCTGCATGATATTCCTAACCAACCACAAGGATTTGAATTGTTCATGTTCCATCTTATGTAATCTCCTCTATTCGAAACTGTTTGATTCTGCAAATACGATTTTAGCTTCAATAGTACTTGTTTGTCTGTTTCCAATGAATCACCAACTACCAGTTTACCTGTCAAATCAATAAATCAACACACACGAAAACAAAACAAAAAAACATAAACAACCTCGTGAATCGCGCAAATTACAGGATACAAACATCATCAACTTTGAAAAACCAAATAACAAACATGGATTGTCCATAGCCTCTCAGACACTCAATACTCAGTCGTTGTTAAATTAATTCAACGACTGAGGTTTTATCTGAGAGGCTATAAAAAGGTTGGAGTTTTCTGTTGGTACCTGAGAAAAGGATCAGGAGACAGAGAAACAAGAAACTCCATGAATCATAATCTTGTTCTGACATTAATGATAGTTCAATTGTTGTATATGTTAATTATAATTTCGTATGAGGAAAATTCATGTATGAAAAAGGAAAGAAAATAAGTGTGAAGTGGAAGAGAATCTTCTTTATGAGATAGTGGAAGTCATTTAGATGATAAAGAAAAATTTGAAGGAAAAATTGTGTGTTTCTTTTTTGTTGAATTTTCTTTCTTGTGATATCACAGGAACTTATTTTAATGAATTGAATAGGAAAATGAACACGAAAGAATGTTTTTGTTGTTATTTGTTTGAGTCCGTGCGTGTGAACATGTATAATAATTGTACTAATTAATGATCTTTTATTTTTTATTTTCTTCAAGATTATTTAATTGATGAAAAATAGAAAAAGTTGTAAAAGTGACGGGCTAGGGAACAAGAAGCGCAAGAGTCATAAGGAGATTTTAGATTTGGAGACAAAAGTGGGCGGTCGAGCCACCATTGCTGACCGGTTGGACGAAAGAGTGGCTCGCACGGGTTTGACTCTTGTACGCCAAGACTCATACACCTTCCTTTTCTAGCACAAACAAAAAAAGTGAATTCTTATAATCCATCTTGTTTTTCTTTGTTGGCTAAATTATATGGAAATTTCTCAAAATCCAACCATGTATTTTCTAAGCAATTTATAGAAATATTGGTTAGCATTTCTCATTTTATATTAATTTGAAATATTTTAATGTGAATGTTAAGATATTATTATTATTTTAAATTTTGTAAATTGGTCTTTTATATTTTCCAAACTTTTTAAAAATTGGTCTTTAAAATTTTTCAAATATAGCAAATGGGTCTTTAATAATTTTTTAAATTTTACTAATTGATCCATTAAGTTTTTAAAAATTGTATATGGGTCTCTATTTTTCAAATTTTAATTTTGACCCATACATTTTATTATCCTAAAAATTTAACAAGAATCAAGAATAATTTTAATATTTTATTCAAAAACTTTAAAATAAATAAGTTGTATTTGAATTATTTAGATTTTTTTGTCTAATAGTTAAAATTTTACTTAAAAAAATTAATAAGTGTAACATCGCAGGCTCAATTTCGTGCTTTTTGATTATAGAATTTTATATTTCTTAAAAAAAATTAATTACTCCGTACAACTCCATGAAAATTAAAACTGATTTATTTTCTTTCTTAAATAAACACATTAAAATAGTTAGTTATGGAAATATTTAAAGTAAAATGAAAATGTGGGAGTACGTTAATCTTCAAATTTTATTTTCACTCTATATTTATAAAAGAAACATGGATTTTGACATAAATATTCTAACATGATACGAGATAGACACTCACGTCGATAATATCAAAAATATAAGATAATGATATGTTAATGTTATATATATGAATTTATCTGGACTTCATTGATTCATTTATTATTAAAATAATTAAAAAATTAATAAAAATTATTGTCTTTAATTTTCATTAATAAATTAATAATATTGCTTGAATATATATATTGAATTCGAATATATATTGAATTCTTTTAGATGTGTGTTCGCCTCTGATTTTGGAAAACAATTTTGATCTCTTAACAAAAAATTTATTGGCGAGATCGATCAGGGAATCTCAGTATCGTGTTTCAGTTTTTGAGTATTTTCACAAAGTATGTTCAAAAGAATTCATTCGACTAATGTCAAACGAGTTTATAAGCAATAAAGTAAGACTTGTAAAATAAAACAAAAGACGTTTTAAACAGTAAACATAAATGACATAACATCAAAACAGATGAAAATATGTTGGTTTAAACGTACATTGTCCTAGCTTGACTCATTCCGCTCGTTCGTTTGGGTATTCTGAGTGGCTAGCGTATAGGAATATGAAAGTTTGACCTCTTACACTATGCACTAAGTACTTTATTTATAATACATGAAAATTAACTACTTTTTGGCGGGCTTCGCTTCCTTGTACGTCACGTGCCTCTGGTAACTTCTCTGCATGATCCCACGTTCTCCATTCCTATTATCGAGCATACGTTCTCCATCCATAACACTTTGCTTTGCTAGTTATGCACTCTTTGGACTTTTTAATGTTCCTGGGCCCAATTCATTCCTCATGAGGCCTCTTTCTGGTCGACTGGGTCCACAAGCCCAATTGATTAATTATGAAATCTCTCTCGGTCGACTATTTCTGTGGTCGATATCTCATAATTCAAAGTTCTCAAAGCACCTTTTTGGCTTTTGGTTGGATTTTAATCTGTGTGAAAAATCCTAGCCTACAAATTACCCCCAAAATGTCATTTTCGACTGAAAGAACAGAAACGAACATTTTAATCCTCTTCTCTTAGTGTGAAGTGACGTCATCTTAATCATGACCTTTTCCCTCAAACGTTACGTCTGCGATCAGACAGCCACTTCCCTACTTTTTAGCTCCAACTTCCTAGGATAAACGTGGCCTCGAACTCACCAACTTCTCCAAACAATCGCCACCTGCCTGACACGTGTCTGATCGTGTAGCCACATTTATCCCACTTTCTTCCCAAACGTTTGGTTCTCTTAATGGTATAAATACCCCTTTCATCTTTTCAATTTCCTTTTTATGCTTTTTTTTCATACTCAGGCTCTCCGCTAAGAAATTCTTACTTTCATTTTTACCCAGAAAAACTTTCAACCATCTCCATGGCTACTTCAAGCCAACTCTCTGAACACATTTTAACTCTCCAGGAAATTGAACTAGTTTCTAATATGAGTGAGTTCTTCGTTCATGATCAAAATACCTTCGTTTTGGAACCAACACCGACACGAAATCTCCAAACCTTTAGTTCCCAGTTGTTGCTCCCCTTCATCTGCAACAAAATTGCTTACGCTCTATTGGGACCTATTCTTGATGAGATCAGAGCACCCAAACATTTGGAAAGTTGTTTCCTCACTCACAAAACTACACAACCTCCTATCAACAGAGATTGCCCCATAGATTTTTCACACATTTACCGGACATCCAAAGTCTTCTGTTCTGCTCCTGCTGTCAACCAAGATTACATTGCATGGTGGAATAAAGTAGTGAAAGTTAAAGGTGACGTTTGGAAGGCCCAAGGCATCTTTGACTTGATTCAGCTCTCTAGGTTTATTTTATATCCAAACGCTTATTGGGCCATGTCATTTTCTTCTTGGTTGTCAATACGCCTCACATGAATAATCGACACGTTATCAAATTTCTGAAGTAATGAAAATGCTTTGGCCACGTACATTACCAAATGATCTTTAACGCACTTATATTCTTTAGTCAATTGTTTCACCACTAACTCTGAATCTCCTTTGAGGTCAACGTCTTTGATTCCCACGTCTAACATAATTTAAAGCCCAATTAATAAAGCTTCATATTCATCCTCATTATTAGAGCATTCGCCTTTAATCTTATAACGAAATCTAGTTGGAACTCCATCTGGTGATAAGATAAAAATACCTACCCCAATTCCTTGTTTATGTTTGGAACCATCAAAATAGCATTGCCAAGACTTAGTACCTACATGGGCTTCATTGATGTCGACCACTGAATGGTCAACTATAAAGTCTGCAATAATTTTCCCTTTGACTGCCTTTAAAGGAACATACGTTAAGGAATATTCAGTTAATTCTAGTTCCCATTTGCCAATTCGAATGTGCAAAATGAGTTTAGATAACATATGCTTAATAACATCAAAATGAGAATAAACAGAAACTTCAACTGGTTTTATATAATGCTTGAGTTTAGTACATGAAAAATATAAACATAAACATAATTTTTCAATTGCATTATATCTAGTTTCAGCGTCATTTAACACTCGACTGAGGTAATAAATGTCTCTTTCGATCCCATTCTCATATTCCTAGGCTAGCATGCTTCCCAGAGTCGACTCTGACGCTGCAATGTAAAGTTTCATGCCTTTGTTTCTGTTTGGGGGTGCTAACATTGAAGGCTTCACCAAGTAGTCTTTCAAACGATCGAATTCCTCTTGACGGTCTTTTCCCACTTGAACTCAGTCTCTTTGCTTAGTTTTAATAATGGAGAAAACGCCAGAGTCTTTCCGCTCATGTTTGACACGAATCGTCTTAAGAAATTTATCTTTCCCGACAAAGGTTGTAGCTCTTTCTTCGTTGTTGGCGCTTCGGTACTCAAAATTGCCTTGGTTTTGTTTTTGTTGATTTCTATACCCTTTTGTGTACTACAAAACCCAAAAAATATCTTGCACGAACAGAAAAAGAACATTTTAATGGATTCATTTTTAATCTATATTCCCTTATTCGAACAAAAGACTGTCGAAGGTGGTCTAAATGACCAACCCTTGAGGACGAATTGACTACAATGTCGTCAATGTACACCTGCATGAAGGTGTCTATGAAATCATAAAACATTGAGTTCATTTCCCTTTGATAAGTAGCCCGAAGTTTTTCAAACCAAAAGGCACGACTACCCACTCATATGTGCCTAGTGCCCCAGGGCATCGAACACAGTTTTGTGGGTATCTTCCTCAGTAATAAAAATTTGATTGTAGCCTGAATATACATCCAAAAGACTTAAATATTCATACCATGCGGCTGAATCAACCAGTATTTATGCCACAAGCATTGGGTATTCATCCTTTGGAGTGGCTTTATTTAAATCCCTAAAATCTATGCAAATTCTTAAAGTTCCATTTTTCTTTACTACAGGCACTATATTGGCTAACCATTCAACATATTTGGTTATCCTGATGAATCTTCTCTTCAACAACCATTCGATCTCCATTTTTATTTTGGACTGCACCTCTGGTGCGAACCTTCTTGGCATTTCTTTGACTGGTCGCTTACCTGGATTTATGGGTAGTCTAATTTCTGTCATTTCCCTGCTCAAACCAGGCATCTCGTTGTAATCCCATGCAAAGTAGTCTTTAAATTTGTTAAGCAGTTTGATTACTTGATCCTTCATCTTGTTATCGATCTTGGTGTTGATGTATGTAATTCTCTTAGTCGTGCCATAAACCAGGTCGACTTCCTCTAATAGATCTCGTGCTTGCATCTTCAAAATATT